ATATTGACTAATTTATTGTCTTATTTGTGTATATTTATATGATCTGGTTTCTTCAAAAAAAAAAAAAATGTTCTAATTTAGGCCCTTGTTGAACTGAAATTAATTTTATTGAATTAAAATTATTTTTGCTGAAATTAAATTATTTTTACTGAACTGAAATTATTTTTACTGAATATTTTTTTTTAAGGTGAACTGAATCGGGCCTTAGTCCCTTGTGATCATTTTTCCTAATTTCATATGTAGCTTTTATCAAGTCTTCTTTGCATCATTAAAACAATTTTGTGAATAATTTTTATAATTTTCTTGAAATTGCCCAGTATAATAGCCTAATAGGTTAGTTTGATCCCTTTTCCTCTATACCTTTCAAGTGCAGATTATCGTCTTTACAATGCACGCACTTAATTATGATTTTCCGCGTAAATGCTTGTGTGTAGATACTATCATATCGTATCACATGAACAGATCGGGTTTTTGGGGTTGTACATAAAGAGTTTACATTATACAAAGTATATATTGATAAGCGCACACCTTCCTTGTTTGCTCTGGATTCTGGGATGTAGTGCATATAAGAAACTGTTGTGATTTTACAGTATTTAGTTTAATTCAGAGTTGAAGATTAGGATATTATTTGGTCTTATTTCTGTAATCCGAGTCTAAAGAACGCTAGCTTTTGGTTAGGGTTAGTACTCCATATATACTCTTCCGTTGCACCCTTGGTTTATTATACTTTTACTATCTCAAATTTATTTGATGGAAAAGAATTATTATTTTAATTGCTAAAAGATTTAACTTAAAAAAAAATCACTTAAAGATTTATATGGATTTTTTTGTAAGTTAAATAGTTTAATCGAAAAAAAAAAACACTAAAACCATTTTTATCTTTTCTTTGAAAAAAATTAACATTATTTTTTATCCTTGTATTCTGTTCATTTGATTTGAATAAAAGAATTAGATTGAAGCACTAACTCGGTGCACCAAAATCAAGATGAACAGCGACATTATCAATGACAGATCAAGCTCGTTGCCTGATTCTCTTCTAATCACCATACTATCTCTTCTTCCAATCAATTCCGCCGCTGCCACCTCCGTCTTATAACCCACCGTTGGCGCCGCCTCTGGACACACATCACCCACTTTTCCTTTAAACCATGGAAAGTTTGGAGACACGACCATGATTTCTGGGATTCCATGAACACCATCAATCACATCCTCTTCCAGCTCACCTCCTCCATGTTGGGGACGGAACAACAGATAAACACAATATGTGTCACTTTTTTTGAATAAAAATAAATTAAAGTTTCAAACTTTAATATCTAATAAACTCATGTATATATATATATATATATATATATATATATATATATATATATATATATATATATATATATATATATATATATATATATATATATATATATACGGGAGGGTTCCGCTAAAAACAGGGCTTATGGTGAAAACTAAAAACAGCAAATCTCAGCCATTGATTATTAATGATATAATCTAACGGTTGAAATACAAGGTACACAAAATCTTAGCAAATCTCAGCAAATCCTCTGTTAATTTTGCTGAAAAACGCAAAATCTCAGCAAATCTCAGCAAATCCTCTTTTCATCTCATTATCAAATCGTCAATTCCTCAATTCGTCAAATTTTAGGGCTACTTTGATTATTTACTCCCAAAATTGAGGGCTCGTGATTCTTCAATAACTTGGGGCTTCCTCAATAATCTTAGTAAGTGTTCTTCATTCTTTAATTTCTGTTTTTAGCTGAATTTCTAGTTGATTGCGGCTTACAATACCGATATAACTGTGATTATTTCCTTGTATATAAGCTGAATTTCTTGAATTTCTATTTGATTGCGCATGGTAGGTTATTTCCTTGTATGTGATTATTGTAGACTATTTTTATAATAGTGCTCTGTTTTTTAGTTTCAATCTCATCAACTTGTAGTTTCAATCCTCATCAACAATATGCTCTTTTTTCGTTTTTGTATAAATATTTGCAATATATATATATTTTTTTTATATTAAAGTTTTTTTTTTCCTGGATATATGATATTAAACACTAGGAGAAATTGTTGCACATAAGGTGTTTGTGTATTTGCTTAAATGACTAACACCTTGCTTAATACCATATAGTAACTCTTTTTTATGATACCATAACCATATATTTTAGACTGTTTTTGTTGGTGTCCAGTTAGTTGCACCATGGAATGGATTATTTTATTATAGTACCCATTTTAAACCATATATTTGATATTATATGCAGACAATGCAAGAGGAGTCAGAAGAAGGTAGTTGCTCAAATACATCTACAACTACCAATGTTGCTGAAAACTTACCGTCACTAAAGGGCCCAAGTGTGTGTTACACTCCCAGAGGAACAAAAGAGTTTATACCGTGTTGTCCCCCTAAACTAAAGCCTACACTTGGTATGCTTTTTGATTCCTTACTTAAAGGTGTTGATTTTTATAAGCAATATGCTAGATTTGGTGGGTTTGTGGTAAGACTAGGTACTGAAAAGAGAATTAAAGATAGTGATAAAGTCTACTTGAAATATTTACATTGTAATAAACAAGGGTTTACGAAGGATGGTGAAACTAAAGCAAAAGTTTCTAACAAAGATAAAAATCCTAAAGCTAGAAAAAGAACCATAAATCGTTTTGGATGTAATGCAATGATTGGGTTTAGAGAACGTTCAGATGGAAAATGGATGGTTTATGTCTTTCATGAATCTCATAGCCACAATCTTGCTTCTCCCAACACAATGAATTTTTTGGCAAATGTTGGAAACCTTAAACTTGGCCAGAAAAAATTCATTTTTGACAACTCTAGATTGAACATTGGTCCAAACAAGTCTTATAAGTTGATGAAAGAACATCTTGGTAGCTATGATAATATAGGTGCAACATTGAATGATTTCAAGAACTTTAATCGAGACTTGAAAGCTTACATACAAGAGAAAGATGCTTCGATGTTTATAAACAATTTGAAAGAAAAAGCTGAAAACAGTGAAGGTGCCTTTTTCTTTGAGCATTGTATGGATGAACATCAACGCTTGACAAGAGTATTTTGGGCAGATGCAATTAGTAGAAAAAATTATTCGTTGTTCTGTGATATGATTACATTTGATACAACATTTGACACCAACAAATACTCTATGGTTTTTGCCCCATTTACGGGTGTTGATCACCATGGTAAGTGTGTGACTTTTGGGATAGGCTTACTTGCAAAGGAGGATATTGAATCCTTTGAATGGTTATTTGAAACTTTCTTAAAGGCAATGAATAACTGTCAGCCTACCTGTATCATGACAGATCAAGACCCTGCGATGAAAGTGGCAATTGAAAAAGTTCTTGATAAGGCAAAACATAGGTTTTGTATGTGGCACATTATGAAAAAAGTGCCACAAAAGGTAGGGCCCAAATTATGCTTAGAAACTGATTTTCTTCATAAACTAAACTCTGTTGTGTGGAATAGAGACCTTGAACCAGAAGAATTTGAAATTGGTTGGCAGTCTGTGATGTCTGAATTTGATTTAGTGAATGAAGATTGGTTCAAAAATATGTATAATATAAGGAATATGTGGATTCCTTCCTACTTTCGTGACCTTTTTATGGGTGGGATTTTAAGGTCAACTCAAAGATCAGAGAGTGAAAATAGCTTTTTCACTAATTTCACCAATCAGCATTTGTTATTGGTTGAGTTGTGGTTTCGCTATGAATCTGCAATCGATGCTCAAAGGCACACACAAGACAAGTTGAATGCTACTTCAAAAACTACACATCCCCAACTTGTCACCCCCCTGTACTTGGAAAAGCATGCTGCATTTGCTTACACTCATAATGTATTTTACATATTCCAAAAGGAATTCAAGCATGCTTTGTACAATTGTGGTATAAGTAATGTTACCATCAAAGAAGAAGAAGGGATTGAGCAATATAGAATTGTTGACAACACAAGGAAAAAAAGCTATCATGTCACATATGTTTTGTGTTCTAATGATGCTTCATGCTCTTGTAAAATGTTTGAATCTGTTGGAATATTATGTCGTCACATTCTCTTTGTCATGAAAGGAAAGTTCTTATTTGAGATTCCAAGGCAATATGTTTTACATCGTTGGACTAAAGAAGCTATGAAGAAACCAATTTTTGGCTTAAACAACTTGCTTGATGGGGCAGAGAAGGATAAGAAGCAAAAGCTAGTTGGTGATTTATGGTGCAGGTTTTTTTCATGTGTAAGTCTTTGTGAGGAGAAAGTTGAATGCCTAGAGTCATTGTTGTCTAAGCTAATATCTTTTGAAAATGAGATGAAAGACTTGGATTCTATAAGTCCAGTTGATAAACGTGAGGCAAAAAATAAACACATCGAATTATTTGTTGGATCTAATGACATAGTTGTTGATATTCTTCCTCCAAACAAGTCTTCCAACAAAGGTAGTGGTAGTGGAAAAAGGAAAAAATCTGACAAAGAGATAGCTATTGAGGAAAGCCAAAGGAAAGATAGACTTTGTAGAACTTGTGGTCAGAGAACAAACCATGATAGTCGGAATTGTCCGCAAAAAAAATCCAACTTGAATGAGGTATTTTTGTAGAAAAAAATAAATAAATTTTGTACTATGTTTACTTCCCACTAGATTTTCACTTTATATATGTTCGTGTACATGATTTCAGGATTTCAAAGAAGAGTAGAAAGGCTGCAAAACCACTTCATATTTACAAGAAGCAACATCGGCTACTGACAGCCTAGTGCTGAAATAGAGGAGATGAGAGGAAAGAAAGAACATAGTGCTATAGTGCCCTTTTTATTGATATAGTGATTGTTATTGTTTCACATATATTAAACAGGGACCTTTTATTGTTAAAATTTTATTGATAAGGTGACCTTTTATTGTTAAACTTTTTATTGACCTTTATATTGTTATTTTGATGTAGTGACATATTGGGATATGATAACTTCAATTTATATTATAGTATGTGTTTTTAACGTTATAGTGACTTTTTTTCATCGTATTGACACCTTATTCCGTGATAACCTTTTTAGTGATATAATGACCTTTATTATGATATAACAACCGTATAAAAAATACTCACATTTTAACAATTCTTCTAATCCACATCGATTAAGCCAATACAAAGTTAGGGAAGGAGGGGCTCGTTCTTTTAATTGATATACTAAATGAATAGCTTAAGAATAGATTAATATAAATACGACACTTTTACCTTACATAGTGACCTTTTATTTAAATAGAGACAGATTATTATAGAAATCTTTTTTATCACATAGTAACGCTCTTGCATCTCATAGTGATCCTTTTGCATCGCATAGTAATTGGAAATTTTTACCTCATATAATGCCATTTTACTTACATAATGACTATAAAAAGTAATATAATATCCTTTTTCAAGTTTTTTTTTTCTTTTTTAAGAGATAAAAAAAAGTTAGACATTTTTAGGTACATATTTATCATAGGTCCTTTGAAAACTTGTCACATATGTATACAAAATATAATAATGAATATGGTGATAATTTTGCATTATAACTTAATTATATATAACACATTGAACTAATAACATTTTAAATACATAGTGACCTTATAATATAGAAACCTTTTAAATAACATAGATACCTTTTTAAATACATAGTGACCTTATCATATAGAAACCTTTTTAAATAACATAGGTACCATTTTTTTATAACATAGGCGCCAAATTTATAACTAATATATATTTCACTAAACTTCTTGAATGTCAATTAAAGATTACATATCAAAAGAACTACCAATACCACCAATTCAAAAGCTTTGTATGAACTGGAATCATATCATATTGTTCTATATTAACACTTATACAATTTTGTTAGATTATCCATTTGTTGATGCAAACTACATCATTACATTAGATTTCCTACTTCTGTGCAAAATACAAATACTTCCGAGCAAAAAACTTCATCCACATATTCGTTAGTCTGCCTATACTTTCTTTTCCTTTTTACCTTGCTTTGTTTTCTTCTTAATCCCATCAAAAACATCTTTTGCAACTTGACTCCTTATTAATCTGAATTCAGATAGCTTTTCAAGAACTTCATCTCTAACAATGTTCATATCAGATAATACCAGAGTAGCAGCAATCTGAGCTCTCAATGTCCGTCTAGTTGAAACCTAATATATTAATTTAAGCAAAAATTAGAATAAAAAAGCTAGTTAAATTCCATGGAGGAAATAGTTAATATAATAAAAATTGAAAGCCAAATAAAAAAAATGAGACGAGATAACCGTTTTCAAAACATCGCAGTCGAACACATCAGCTCCATCAAAGTAAAGCATGCTGACCATAGTATAAATGCCACTATCATTATTCTTCTGTTTTCCAGACTTCCAATTTACAGAAGGTGACTCCAAAGTATACTCAATCATGTTCTTCACTGAGTCATTACTTTGAGGAAGGCGTTGATCAAGAAAAGTACTCAGCATATCACTCTAGGCAAAATAAATTAATACTTTAGGTTCCATGAAGCATATCCTAACTAGAAAAATACAAATAAAATCCAAAATATCATATTTTTACCAGAACATCAGAGAACTTCTCAACCTCACTCATGTACTTTGTATCATAACTCATATTATCAATGAACTGAAGCTTTTCTTCCTTCAAATTCACAACAATTAGGAAAAAGTGCTCATTCAAGAGTATAGGAACAAATATCTGCAATAAATAAATAAACAACTATTAAGCTTGAAAAACTTAATATAAAAGTACTTAGTTGAAAAATGATTGTCAACATTTGCAATGTATTACCAACTCAACATTTGCAATATCAAAATCATTGCAAGGAATGAACAACCATCTTGACCAAATGTCAAATAGCTTGTCAATGTCTTGTGTGTTACTATCTGTGTTTGCAACTTTCAGTAAAAAAGCCTAAAAAAGAACAAACATTAATAAATATTAAAAAAATTAGAAGGTAGAGTTATTTTTCTTAAATGTAATTACTTGCATTACATAGTGACTGTTTTCATTGCATAGTGAAATTAATTTATGAATCATAGTGACTGTTTTCAATACATAGTGAAATTAATTTATGAATTTTTTATAATGAACAACTACCATTATAATGATGTAGTAACTAAATAGCCGAAAGATACTTACACTTTGAGAAACACCAAAATATAGTTTTTGAGGTCCATGTGCACTACTCTTCTGGTTTTCATTAAGCAACATAGCCCAACAATCAATAATAACAGAAGATATAGCAATAGCCGGTGCACCTAATGAAAGGAATTCATTCCTTGTAATCTCAAATGGTTTGCCAAAAGATACCAACACCTCACTGTACAAGGAAATAAAAAGACACATGTATATTAACATAGTCACTTATTATTAAAATTTGAAAATAAATAACAAAAAGAACAATGACATGACTTACTTGAGATCGAAACCATGATAATCACTAATGCAGTAGTCAACAAGTTCCTGGACAACTGCATCCAAAACCTTCATATCCTTATTACTTGACTTCATATATTCAGTTACATATGTAACTTTATCACCAAAGAGACTAACATCCATAGCAAGGGAGCATTTAGATTTTCCATTACTCAAAACATGCTCAAAACCTATCCTTGGAACCTCACCAACTACAACATTAATCTCTTTTGCAGGTGCACCATTATCATCAATATCATCATCATCCAAACCATTAGGCACTTTGCTTACCCAATTTACAAGAGACACAATCTCATCAACAATTTCATGAACACGAGGATTCATAAAGAATAAATCAGTTTGGGACATTGGAGGTGTCGAAGTTGAAGCATCATTAGATTTACGAGTCTGAAATAACACTTTCAACTCATTCATGTAGAAGTTAGATACCACTTCTAAATCTCTTTTCATGAGCAAAAACTTCTCATAAACTTCCTGTGAAAAAAAAATGTAGCACTTAGATTTAATAAAATAATTTGTGACAAAAAAAAAAAAAAAAAAAAAAAAGAAAAAACCAAACAGACAGACAGAATTAAAGGGTAAAATACTTACATCAATAGCAATTGAACGGATTTCCTCATTAGACATTGAACTGGCAGGTAGCTCAAACTGAATAACACCCTTAACATTGCTACGGACACCTTCATAAACAACAGATTCTTTTCCAGAAGTTTGATTCACAGGAGCTTCCTTGAATTGATTACAAACAACTTGTCCATCCTCAAATTGCAACTTCTCACTCACTGGATATGTATCAAACTCAAGAATTCCACACCCAAAACCCTTGGACAACTTTTCATTTCTAATTCTATCTCTTATATCCACATCAGTCCAATGTTGAATTAAAGGTATTGTAGAATTTAACACAACATTCCTAAACCTCAATCGATGAAAATAGATAATCTCTAACATCAAAACACAACCACAAAACCATTCTATATTTCCTTCTTTGTAGCTCTTCACGGCTTCACAAAGTCTATCTAAGACATATTTTGACCAATTATAAATTCTTATTTGATTAACATCAACCAAACATTTTACAATTCTCAAATCCACAGTTCTGTTGGACGTAGGTGCTAAAAAACTTGAAAAAGCATGCATGATAAAAAGCTGTCTGAATTCTTCCCCGCCATCTACTAGTAAAGGGATCTTAGATTCCAAAAAACCCAAAGGAATCTGATCATTCTCACCCATAAGACCAAAATGAGACCTCCATTTAACCTTTAAATCATAATCAGGGTTGATGACATTAGCACAACGAGAAATTTCTTCAACTTTCTTAGATGTTTTGCAAGGAAGGCAAAAAACATCATACACATCAAATTCAGTCACAACAAAATCTTTTTTACCATCAATAGTAAACATGCAGCTACCATGATCAAAACAATCTACCAACCATGATAGCATATCAGTTGCAGTTCGTTTCACCTTCAAAGATAACAAACCTCCAAAGCCAATTTCTTTAACAGCCTTGATTTGATCATCTGAAAAAGTTTTAATCATCTCTACTAAATGAAATGGCCTGCAACGTGTTTTAAATCCTCGTTGCACCCTGTAACAAGACATACGAAAAGATAAACAAAAGAAACCAAAATAGTAGCCTCTTTTTATAGCATAGTGACCTTTTTTTTAAACAAAACTTCAAAAAAAAAGAAACAAATATTCACTTACATATGTACATCACTATCTATGATTGCAGATTCTTGCCTATGAATCACAATGTTCTTATCATTATTTGCCTTCACTTTCTTCACTTTAAGACCTTCATTTTCATCCAACTTTCTCTTCTTAGCTGGCAAAACAATAGCATGTGAAGAAGAAGACTCATTCCCCTTCTTTCCTTTCATCACAGTTGACAAAGGTATAGCATTCTCAATGTTAGAAGGTTTCTTTTTCTTAGTGATAGCTTTCTTTTTCAATCCTTTTTCAATACAAGCATCTTTATCTCTGTTAGTATCATCATCGATCATTTTGCTTCCACCATCAATATGCTCTTCATCTTCATGATCGAGATTGATACATGCTAAAAACACGCAAGCATATAGTTATATATACAATTATCTTCATTTTCATCTAGCAAACAATTATAATATAGCAAACTAATAACTTAAAAATAATAATCATTGTCATTGATATAGTGACCTTTTTCAGTTACATAGGGAACTAATAATATAGTAACTTTTATATTAATATAGGGACCTACATTCTATAGTATTAGGAGACTATCATAATAGAGCAACTAGTATATTAAGGTTAATAATCCAAAAATCAAACATTCATCATACCTCCTGTATCTTTCAATTTAACTCCTCCTGTTGAGCTACGAAGGCCTCTCCTTTTTTTAAAAGTAGCACCACCTCTAGTTCTCACCATAGGAATAAAATCTAATCCAAATCGAATGAAAATCCTTGTTGCACCCTGTAACAAGACATACGAAAAGATAAACAAAAGAAACCAAAGTAGTTGCCTCTTTTTATGGCATAGTGACCTTTTTTTAAAACAAAACTTCAAAAATAACATAGTCCAACACCCCTCCAAAAAGATTCAGTTTATTTTGGTTTGGTTTAGAACAAGTTCAGGTCATATTCATATTTATGTCTTTTGACAACCAATTTGTTTACGAATAAAAAAATCAATTCAGGTCAGGTCAGGGCAGTGAAAATCAGATCAAACTAAGGTATCCAAATCCTCGAATTCTGGCTACCTTGATTCAAGTTCAAAACAGGCCTAATTCAGAAATTTTGAAGCAAAATCCAGTACAGAGTCAAATTAACCATGCACATATGTCAGACTAGAAGTACACTTTTCAACAGTCAAGAAAGTCATGTAGATGTCGATTTAGCATGATCAGAAGCAATCTATCACAAATCCACCCCAGATGTCTGTAGCTCCTGGGTTAGTCGCTTAAGCAATCTACTCAACACCAAAAATCGGACATATAGAATCAAAGTCAGTATCTTAAACCAGGAAGCATTCTTCATACTTTATGTTCTTTCTTTCTTTCTTTCTTTCTACGGTTGATGTGGAAAGAGTCTTTGCATCAATATCACAAACACCAGAAAATTTATCTAAGTGCAAAAGGCAAATAATTCATGTAGGAACCTAATGACATTTGATGCAGCTGAAACCACTTCAAATCACAAATAAGAAAATACAGGTTGTAAGAGAGAAACACAACAGCATCAAGGAACACCAATGCAACCAAGGCAGTTAGTCCATCTCCAAACATGTCACCATGTTGGTCAGGTCTCAATTCCAGATCATCATTAGCAAGAGATTGATGACCATTCCTGTTGCCTACACCAAACGGAACACGGGAAAATACAAATCGAGTTGGACACCAAGTGGAAGCAGGAACCAGTGTAGCTAATTTATGTCTCCAAACTCTCACTAATTCACTCACAAATCCACTAAAAACACTTCAAATTACTCAAAATTCGAATTAACTACTCCAAACTCTCACTAATTCACTCACAAATCCACTAAAAACATTTCAAATTACTCAAAATTCGAATTAACTACTCCAAACTCTCCCGAATTCACTCACAAATCCACTAAAAACACTTCAAATTACTCAAAATTCGAATTAACTACTCCAAACTCTCCCGAATTCACTCACAAATCCACTAAAAACACTTCAAATTACTCAAAATTCAAATTAACTACTCCAAACACAAACACACACACACAATTCGCATTTTAGCTATTCGCATTCCTAACAGGCATTAATTCGAAATCAAAATCCACAAAAATCAGCTAAACTCGAAATCAACAAAAACAAATTTATGCTCAACAAAAATCGTGTTACTAAGAAGATGAAGAAGAACAACAAAAGCAGAATTTCGAGCAAAAATACACATAAAAACCTAGTTTACTTAAATTAAGAAAAATTAAACAAAATACATTTAAAAAATACTTCTACTAAAACGAAACTTAAGTTGAAATTCAAAAAATAAAATCAAATCGAAAAAATAAAATAAAAAAACTTGCAAAATTACAAAATTAAACAAAAATCATACACGAAAAACATAATAGACATTAAATTTTCGGTTGAATCTACAAAAAAAGTACTCATGAAATTCCAGCAAACAAAATTTCAGAAACCTAATAACCTCAAATCGTGCAAAAATAGCGAAATTACCACAAAGAACTCACCTGATAATAGATCGTAGAGCTGAGAAATTGCTAAAAATCAAAGTAATTAAAGCGGTGTTGCTGAAGGAGTTCGCTGATGGTAATTGAAGCGGTGTTGCTGAAGGAGTTCGCTAATGTCGAGAAATTAGGAGAGAGAAAGTGAAGAGAGAAGGAAGAGGAGGAAGAAAATAACAGAGGAAAGAGAAAGTGTTTTCGCGGGAGGAGAGAGAAAGTTAGGATATATATACATTAAATATCATCCGCTAGATTATAATCTACGGCTGGGATTAATTGTTTTCATGTTTTCACCCTAAGACTTGTTTTTACATGATCCTAATCCTATATATATATATATATATATATATATATATATATATATATATATATATATATATATATATATATATATATATATACATATATATATATATATATACATATATATATATATATACATATATATATATATATATATATATATACATGATTACATGGTCTGTAACTTTTAAATTTTTGGTTGATCCAACTAACATAAGTGTATTATTGTGCATTACTGCTTGATTTTATTTATTAATTTATTTTTAATTTTTTTTAAGCAAGTGCATTACTGCTTGATAATATTGGGTAATTGTACATAATTGATAATTTATTGGGTAATAGATCAATTTTCCTCAATTCCGACTGAAAAAAAAATGCACAATGTATAATTCCAATAGTAGATAAATTTTCACCGGCTCCCCAATAGTTAATTTAAGAGCATGGATAATAATGTGATGATTTTTTCGTCACACTTTATAACCTTTAGCGTCAACTGAAAATCAATTTTTTTTTTCCCCTAATCACCAAACATGGCTAACACCCCTTCCCACATACAATTAATTGGATCAAACACTTTATCAGTTAATATAATTCCAATAAAAAATTAAAAAAAAAAAAAAAAAATTACCGCCCCAATTTCGACTGGAAATCAAATTCCTGACCGTACCATCTCTCATATTCTCCCTTCATTGTCCATTCATCGATTCACCATTGCTTTCCTTCCTCTCTATTCCTCTTTCATCCAATTAAATTATCTGTAACTACACCACACCATAATTAATCATCTTTCCCCAATAATTAAATCAAATTTTAATTCAATCCCTTTTAATCTTCAATTTAGGGTTTTGATCCATCAAATTCATGGAAGAAGACAGAATAAGCGACCTCCCAGATAGTCTCCTCATCATCATACTCTCTTTCCTCTCTATCGATACCGCTGCCTCTACCTCCGTCTTATCCCGTCGTTGGCGATACCTTTGGACTCACGTTACCCACTTCTCCCTCGAAACCACCTTTCATGATTTCCGTACTTTCATAACATCAGTTGATCACATCCTCTCCGAACTCACGTCCCCTAAAATCCATACTTTTAACCTTCAATTTTCTCTCCGTCAATCAACTAAATCAACGCAGATATTATCTTGCTTTGTTCCTTGGCTTCATCAAATTTGTCGCCGTAAGCCTGAAGTAATTAATGTAGGATTTCATCATTCTCATGGATTTTATTCATCTCTTTTGTTTCACATACCTACTTGTGTGTTTGAAACTCGGTCACTTATAGAATTAGACTTGAATTTGCCTGGCTATATCGAGTTTAAGGCTCCTACTACTTTTATTAATCTGCCTAATTTGAAGAAGCTCTCGTTATTTGTATGTGATTCATATTGTTATTTGATTGATACCCTTATAAAGTCTTTGCCGTTGTTGGAAGATTTGAAGTTGTGTATGAATTTGACTGTAGATGTTCATTGTTTTGCTATATCTGCGTCTAATTTGAAGAATTTGTTTATAGGAATGAATGATTGGGGATCCAAAAGTTTGTCGATTTGCTATTGATGCCGCGAAGCTGGAGCACTGTGAGATTCATGGGTACTTAGCGTTTTATGAATTTGTTAGGACTCCAATTGATTTGCAAATGGTGCTGATTTCAGTTGAGGAGCCAAGTGATGATGAAAAGGATGATGATTTTGATATGGATTACGAGTATTATAGTCTAATTCTTGGGCTACTTCAAGGGATTTCTTGTGTTAGGTCCCTTGTTTTTATTACTTATGGTGCTGATATGCTGAGTTATCTTAATGGTTTGGATGGGATCGACGTGCCAATCTTTCGTAATTTAATGGATCTTAGCTTTTACAATGACACTCGGCCTTATGAAGGACCAATTACCAGGTCATTGCTTAGGCAACTTTAAAGGCTATAATCATATAATATGATCTGATGGATCACGACGACAATTGAGATCAAAGATCAAATTGCTACGGAGTACAACACAATTTAAGTAATGCTACTGTTTTGGACAAGCTTCATACGCTACTGTAACTAAAGTACAAAAACTTCATCGAGCTGTCGGATTGAGCTCTCCGGCAGGATGATCATTGCTTCAAGTTCTGATTTGAAGAATGGTTTGCTTCAATTTGTACTTTGATATGAAATTGTCAACTTTTTTATGACACTTTTGTGTAATCTAAGTTCATTCTGCAAACATTATATTGACTAATTTATTGTCTTATTTGTGTATATTTATATGATCTGGTTTCTTCAAAAAAAAAAAAAATGTTCTAATTTAGGCCCTTGTTGAACTGAAATTAATTTTATTGAATTAAAATTATTTTTGCTGAAATTAAATTATTTTTACTGAACTGAAATTATTTTTACTGAATATTTTTTTTTTCAGGTGAACTGAATCGGGCCTTAGTCCCTTGTGATCATTTTTCCTAATTTCATATGTAGCTTTTATCAAGTCTTCTTTGCATCATTAAAACAATTTTGTGAATAATTTTTATAATTTTCTTGAAATTGCCCAGTATAATAGCCTAATAGGTTAGTTTGATCCCTTTTCCTCTATACCTTTCAAGTGCATATTATCGTCTTTACAATGCACGCACTTAATTATGATTTTCCGCGTAAATGCTTGTGTGTAGATACTATCGTATCGTATCACATGAACAGATCGGGTTTTTGGGGTTGTACATAAAGAGTTTACATTATACAAAGTATATATTGATAAGCGCACACCTTCCTTGTTTGCTCTGGATTCTGGGATGTAGTGCATATAAGAAACTGTTGTGATTTTACAGTATTTAGTTAAATTCAGAGTTGAAGATTAGGATATTATTTGGTCTTATTTCTGTAATCCGAGTCTAAAGAACGCTAGCTTTGGGTTAGGGTTAGTACTCCATATTTACTCTTCCGTTGCACCCTTGGTTTATTATACTTTTACTATCTCAAATTTATTTGATGGAAAGAATTATTATTTTAATTGCTAAAAGATTTAACTTAAAAAAAATCACTTAAAGATTTATATGGATTTTTTTGTAAGTTAAATAGTTTAATCGAAAAAAAAAAACACTAAAAACCATTTTTATCTTTTCTTTGAAAAAATTAACATTATTTTTTATCCTTGTATTCTGTTCATATGATTTGAATAAAAAGAATTAGATTGAAAGCACTAACTCGGTGCACCAAAATCAAGATGAAACAGCGACATTATCAATGACAGATCAAGCTCGTTGCCTGATTCTCTTCTAATCACCATACTATCTCTTCTTCCAATCAATTCCGCCGCTGCCCACCTCCGTCTTATAACCCACTGTTGGCGCCGCCACTGGACACACATCACCCACTTTTCCTTTAAACCATGGAAAGTTTGGAGACACGACCATGATTTCTGGGATTCCATGAACACCATCAATCACATCCTCTTCCAGCTCACCTCCTCCATGTTGGGGACGGAACAACAGATAACACAATATGTGTCACTTTTTTTGAATAAAAAATAAATTAAAGTTTCAAACTTTAATATCTAATAAACTCATGTATTATATATATATATATATATATATAATATATATATTATATATATATATATGAAAGAGTTTATGGAATATTTTCCTCAAGGATTTCATTCACTGACTTCCCAAATATATACAATGTAGCCGCATAATGCTAGCCATAATACAAGGCACCTATTTAGGAACTAATTACAATCATATCAATCTAAATATATGCTTAGCTAAAATACAGTAACAGAATATATTTACATATATATCTTAACACACCCCACAGTCGAAGCGGGAGGACCACGGACGCTAAGACTGTCACGAAAATCCTCAAACAAGACTCGCGGAAGACCCTTAGTAAAGATATCCGCAATCTGATGTCGAGAAGGCACATGTAGAACCCGAACTTCCCCCCGTGCAACCTTCTCGCGTACAAAATGAATATCCAACTCGATGTGTTTCGTACGTTGATGCTGAACTGGATTTCCTGACAAATAAATAGCACTAACATTGTCACAATAAACGAGGGTAGCCTTTTTAATCGGACAATGTAACTCCAAGAGAAGATTTCGAATCCAGCATGATTCGGAGACAACATTTGCCACCCCACGATATTCGACCTCTGCACTAGATTTAGACAACGTGGGTTGGCGCTTAGACGACCAAGAGATCAAATTATCCCCAAAAATACACAATAACCAGACGTTGAACGTCTCGTATCCGGGCATCCCCCCCAATCTGCATCAGTA